GGGCAGCGATGCGAGGAGACCCCGTGCCTGTGTCCTTTTGTCCTGGCCTGATGTACACACACCCTCTTCCCTGGACGGACACACTAACTGACGGCATCGCTGGACACACCGTGCGTCCCTCCTCGCCTGCCGGGGGGTGTCCTCTGTGGCGCCTCAGAAAACCGAGGTCGTTTTGGCCAAGCTCGTGGCCAACGGCACGGTCAGCGCGCGCATCGACCGCCCGGCCAAGCTGGTGAAGTTCTCCCCGGCCGCCACGTCGGTCAACAAGGGCCCGAAGGGGACGGCGCCGGCCGCCGCCGCCGCCGCCACCACCACGAGCACCAAGGCCGATGGCGCCAAGCAGCCCGCTGCGCCCCGGGTGAGCGCCGCCCACTCGACCCTCAACACTTGGTCCAAGAATGTGGAGACCCTGCTCTCGCGCGTGGAGGAAACCGTCCACCTCATCGAGAAGGAGAACATGCTCCTGGAGTCCAAAGAGTGAGCAGCCCGAGAGGCCGGGGGCGCGAGCGCGAGCCCGTCTCTCCCTCCCTGCCTGCCTGCCTGCCTCCCCCTTCCGGAGGCCCCCTGGTACATTCTGCCAGACAGCAGCAGGGGCTCGAACGGCGGGAGGGGGGGGGGGGGGACAGGCCGGCATATGTGCGGTCGCCTGCTCGCACGCCCGCACTCGCGTGTGTGGGCGGCGGCGTGCAGGCGGGGGCCATGCGCGTATGCGTGCAGATCCCCGAGCCGCCCCTCTGTGCCCGCCTGGCTGTCTCTTTGCTCTCTCTCTCTCTCTCTTCTCCCTAATCCCCGATAAATACGAATACACACACACACACATGGATGTGGGTTCTTGCTGTGCCTTTGGACCCTCCGCCCTCCGGCGTGGGGGCGAAGACCGGGAAGAGGAATGGCCCTCCAGCAGCCGCGTCTGTCCCGAGGGCGGGCGGTCGATCGGGGACGCCTTTCGAGACGAATGCCGGTGGCCGGGTGGTGGGATGCGGCGAAGAGCCGGAAATGCGGGAAGATTCCCCGCTAACCAATAGACATTTGATTGTGCCCAAATGGAAAGGGAAAATGGATGGGGATTTTCCCGATGACCCTACTTACAATGCTGCTCTTAACTTGTAATGTCATTCCCGGCGTGCCACTTTCCGTGCTCCATGACTGAGTTCAAGCGACCATCCTCTGGCGGCGGCGGCGGCCGCCGCCGCGGGATCGTTCGTTGCCCGCGTCCCGCACACCCCCTTCGGTGTGGGATTGGGATTGCAGGGACCGGCGGCTGGTCGGAGGGGCGGCGGCAACACACAGGGCCGCCAGGCTCCCCTGTGGAGCCCCGGGCGGAAGGACGGGCAGGGGGGCCCAGGCGGGGGAGGCCGCGCACGCGGGACTATAAAAGGAGGATCGGTGATGCTCCCCGAAGAAAGGGCCCATCCCGGCCATCCGTGGCTGCCAGCCATGATCCCTTCTTCTTTTGCCCATTTCCCCGCACACGCCCGCATTCCCGCCCCCTCCTCTCTCCTCTCTCTTGCTTTTCGCGTGCGATGAGTTGACGCGGGCGCTGTGATCTCCGTACTATCGGCACTTATGGCCCCTCTCCCGGACTATCCCTCGCCCCTTCACCTCTTGCTCGCGCCCTCCTCTCCCCTCCTTTCCCCTTCCCCCCCCCCGGAAAACATGACACACACACACACGATCGGCAGTTGATGATAATTTCACAGACCTGTACCTAATTTCTCTGAAGGAAACAGTAAAAATGAAAGAGCCTGATGCCTATTCGTGTTCCCCCCCCCCACCCCCTCCACCCCATTTAAAAATTGAACACCCGGATTTTCCTTCTCTGTCTGATGGCTAACTGCCAGGGGGGATTGTGGCGAGCCGGCAAGAGACACAGCTAGTCAGGGCGCATCGCTCGCTCCACGCACCAGGGGGCCGAGAGAGAGAGAGAGAGAGAGAGGTAGAGACAGGAACCCCCCTGAACACACCAGGGAGAGCGGGACAGAAGCGCGCGGTGGAGGGATTGATCGGGAGGGGGGCGGGGGGCGCCCGGCGGACGAGAGGACGCACACAAGCGTTCATGCTCTCCCAGGCTTTTTGTGGGGTGGCCCATTGAGCGTGGTGTTCGTCGCCCACACATCCGGCTCTTTCACGCGCAGCGGCGGCCCCAAACGCGCGGAGGCAGAGGGAAAATCATGGGGGCGGAGGGGCGCCCGGAGGCGCGGGGGTGCTTTTCAGCCTCCCCAGGTCGGAGGATGAGGCGCCCGCCCCGTTCCACCCCCGGGGGGGGAGGGGGGGACATTGGTCCGATCGCCGTTGGGGTCCCAATGCACGGGCCTCGGAGGGTTGGCCAGGGTTACTGCCCACTATCCCGCAAAGGGGGGGGGAAGGCCGCCAGCCGGCGGCGGCGACATCGAAGTGAACCCGAGAAGACCGCGCGCATCGCACAAGACGATTGCCACAGACGGCGAGAAAGGAGGGCATCCTCGCGGGCATCGCCCGGAGGGAACCCTCAGCCGGGGGAGGGGGGGGGGGGGGCCGAACGCGACCTGCAACCGCAGCCGGCGGTCTGCCCGCTCCCCGGCTGCGATCGTCGGCCGCCGGCCTGGGGCGGGTGGTGGCCGGCCCGCGGCGGCGCCTCCGCCCTCCCTCCCTCGCCCGGGGGTTTATGGGGCGGGGGTGGTGCGCGAATGCCCCGGCCCCGGGGGAATCTCCGGGGATCGGCCGAAAGTCCGGAAATATTTCCGACATAAGGCTCTCGCCGGCGAGCCGCCAGCAAAGAAGGCATCGGGGGCCGGGCGGGGCACGGGCCGCACCGAAATCCGCTTCGGCCTCGACCGGGACGTGCACGCGTGAGGGTCGGGCGAACGGACAAGCGAAGGCCGGCCCCAGGCCCCCGGGAGAAGCGCCTGCTCTCGGCCGCCGGGCCCGAGTCCGAGCCCGAGCCCGAGCCCCCGCCCTCCTGCGGGCCTGGCACGGCGCCAGCAAACAAAAAAGAACCGCCCGGCAACGCGCGGCATTCCATCCCTCCGCTCCGGCCAAGGGCAGGAAAGGGGGCGAGGGGGCGGTGTGACCTGCGGCGGGCGCACATGCGTACACACACGCAGCGTGAACAAGTCGCGGATCGCGGCAACATCGTGGGGTGAGGCCGGGTTGGAGGGGGGGCGGGGGCCCTGCCTAGGGGGCCGGGCAAGAGCGTTGTCTCGCCCCCCCCCCCCGGGCGCGCGGGCCACCCTGGGCACCAGCGCACCGGTGCGGCGCTGTGCCGCGCGGAAGCCGTGGCATGTGCAAGAACACGCCCGGAAGCTGACGAGCCTGGCAGACCGGCGAGCCGGAGAGAACAGGGGAGGCTTTTGGTCGCGCGAGGGGAGGTTTCCCCGGCGCGCGGAATGAACAAATACAGGGCATTATTTAATGACCCTTTATGCATGTCCGGGCTTCCTTTGTGCGCACCACAGGCGCGCACGCATGCGGCCGATGCTGAAAAAGGGCCCTCCCAGCATATGATGGCGCTGCTCTTTCCCCCCCCCCCCCCGCATGTGGACGCATGGGGACTGGCACCCGGAGTTTCTCTCGTTTCGAACGAGCACCGTGTTGCCGGAACATCTCCCGCGCCGCGAGCCTTCTTCTCCCACCGGGGAGGGGGGCAACGCGTCGGTTCTTTCCTTGCCCCCCCTCGCCCTCCGGTGGCCATGCTCTCGTGCGCCCCGCTTCCGACTGGATCCCGAGAAGGGGTGTGCACCCAGGTAGTGCTGCAGGAGCCGATGGCCAGGGCCGAGGAACAGGGGGGGGGGGGGGGGCGGGGGCGGCGGGGGCGGCGGGGGTCGTCATTCCCGCTCTCCGGGTCCGGCTAGTCCACGTTCATGCTTTTGCGCGGAATATTGGCTTCGGCACAGGCGCGCCGGGCGGCCGGCCCCCCACGTTTGCCCCCGCTTCTGCCTGCGCGCCGCCATCTGCCCGGGCGCCGGATGCACACGCCCGGTCCGGGAGTGCATGTGCAGAGGGGCGGGGCGGGGCGGGGGCGGGGGGGGGGGACGCCCCCCGGCGGTGACTCCCTCTCGCGGCTCCCTCGGTTTCCGTCCGGGCTTCTGCTTTCCCGGCCTTGCCTATTGGGTTCCCCCTCCTCCCGGGAGCCGGCGGAGATCCCACACCGGGCAGGATAGCGCCCGGGTCGTCGGCCGTCGGTCCTGCCGCTCTCGCCGCCCCCCGCACCTCGCCCCCCGGACCCCAGGGCGCCCCGAATCCCCCCACCACGCCCCGGGCGGGCCCATTCTTCTGCCCGCGGATCCCCGAGTCCGCTGGAGGAGGTCTGCCCAGATCCCGAACCGGCCGGCCTTCTCTCGGTCTCTCCCTCTCGCCCCTTCTGTCCCCCTCCCCTGGTTCTGCCCCCCCTCCTCTCCTCTCTCTATACCCCCCCCCCCTCCCTGCCGCCCCCCACCATGACCACCACGTCCGATCTCAATCCCGAGACCGTGGCCCTCCTGGAGCGTGGCCTCCGCCTGGCCATGCGCGCCGTCGAGTCGGTCCCCGGCGCCCCGGCCGTTGTCAACTACCTTTCGCACTCGTACCACAACGACCGCTGGCGTCTGTTCCTGGAAATCCTCCTGGTGGGCATTCTCACCAAGTACCTGCTGTCGAAGAAGTACCGCCCGCGCGAGGCACCGGCCGTTGTGCTGACCGATCGTGTGCGTTTTTCGTTTCCCCCCCCCCCCCCCCCCCCCCCCCCCCCAGCACAATCTACCGGCACTCACCCTCCTCCCCCCCCGTTCCTCCCCGGTTGCTCGCTCCCGTCTCTCTGTCCCCCCCTTTCCCCCTCCTCGTCCGGTGGCCAAATGCATCTTGCACAGGAGATCGACCAGCTCGTGGCCGAGTGGGAGCCCGAGCCCCTCCCCATGCCCCTGACCAAGGCCGACAACCTCATCCTGGACAGCCATATTGTCTTCAACGGGTGCGTCTCCGATCGTCAAGTTGATCCCTCTCCCCCTCCCCAGCCTGCGGCTCTTTCCACTGACTCCGGCGGTCCTTCTGCGGTCCTTCTGCGGTTCTTCTGCGGTTCTTCTGCGGTTCTTCTGCGGTCCTTTTGTCCTCCTCCACCCCGTCATCCCCTCGCTCTCCCCGTCTCCCGTCCCTGCCCCCTTGACACAGTCCCTCCGGCAAGTACCTGGCCGTGGACAGCAAGCGCTGCCTCAACTTTGCCAGCCTCAACTTCCTCGGCATGACCGATCGCATTGAGATCCGTCATGAGGCCGAGAAGGTCCTCCGTGACTATGGTGTCGGCACTTGCGGCCCCCCGGGCTTCTACGGCACTCTCGGTATGTTGTCACACGCATACCCCCCCTCCTCACCATCCTCTCGTCACTGCGTCTCCTTGGCGGCTGCTCTCTCTCTCTCTCTCTCTCTCTCTCCCTCCCCCCTCCGAACTTGCTCATCCTCGTGTCCCAACCGCTGACTTCCCCGTCTCTGCCTACCTCCCCCCCCCTCCCGCCCGCCCTCTAGATGCCCACCTCGAGCTGGAGACGTCGATCGCCAACTTCGTCGGCAAGGAGATGGCTATCCTGTACTCGTACGGCTTCGCGGCCATTGCCAGCTGTATCCCGGCATACGCCAAGAAGGGCGACATCATCGTGGTCGACGAGGCGGCCTCCTTCGCCGTGCAGCGCGGTGTTTATGTCAGCCGTGCGGATGTGCACACGTTCAAGCACAACGACATGGCCGACCTGGAGGCCGTTCTGCAGAAGATCGAGAAGACTCGCATTGCTCGCAAGCAGCCGCTCACCCGGCGCTTCATCGTCGTCGAGGGTCTCTACCAGAACACCGGCACCATTTGTGACCTGGTCACCGTGGTGCGTCCCCCCCCCC